ATAGTGGAACAAGAAGGGATGGATCCAATGATGAACCTCGCCTCATCTATCACAAAGCATGTCCTGACGACTGGCCATCACGTGGACACATCAAAAGGGTTCAAAGTGCTATCGATCAACCGCAACTCGAAGAAGCTGGCGATTGGTGGTGCTACTGATTGCGGGGAACCGGTCGGCGTTGTGCGCGCAAAAGGAACTGTGGCCATCTATCAGTTTGCCGTGGTCATGGTTTTTCAGTTGAGTTTTATCCATGTGATTTCGTTCCACTTGCAAATACGTTATTTCTCAACTGTACTGCGTTTGTGACTGAGGAGAGCAATCGAAATGTTAACATGTCACAACTTATGGTTTCAGTTGGCGCTGACTAAACAGTACATACAGATAGTGCTTCCGCAATGGTCGAAGATACAAAGGAGTTTGTGCCCATCTAAGAATGTTTCTTCCTTCTCTTCGTACAAGTCGTTGCGTGACTCATCGAGAGCACCTAGTGCAGTGGTGCTCAAACATTTGTGACTAGTACCCACAAAGCGGCTTCGCTAGAAACAATTACTCCTCAAAAATGCTGGTTTGGAAAGCTAATTGTCCAAAAACCATTGTCTTTTTGGTTTACATTACAGAAAATGAATAGTTTTTTAATTACTCTCCAGCATTCAAATAAAGAAGTGAACTAATTGAGCCATTTTTAGTTAATAAGATGATGTACCTAATTGAGACAGTTGATATTGCTTAGTTCCAACAATTTATGGCATATTTGGTGTGCTTTCGGCTAATGCACATGGTAAGTCGTGATCCAAGTTCATTTGGTTCCTTGCTTTGTTGTGCGATTGCTGATCAAACAGGAACAGATGTAATTGGCTTCTCATTTGTTTCAACCATCATTTCCAAGTCTGTCCTGGATGATAGCTTCCCATCAATACTCTGCATCGATACGTTCTAGACACTAATCGAACGTTCTGTCCCTTCTACCTTGCCAACATTCGCTCACTCCTTTATGTGGTCGACTGACCTATGTTCCTACCATGGTGTTCACTCAACTCTGTAATTCGACGTGGCGAATGACTGCCTGGCTTAAAAGAACGACGAGCGAGTCGACAGAGGTGCCATCTAGCTGTGCTGCTTTACTAGCATGTATTCCTATTTTAAGCAATAACGTTTATTAAAGGAAATTATCCAATTCACTGACCACTCACTAATGATTAGTCACGGCTGACCAATCAATACCGATTGGTTGGTTAGTTAGGTATATGTTTTTGTATGGGTAAATTTGCTATAATTTGTTTGGCGACAGACTGATTACCCAACCCTCGCAGTTATCTTTACCCCCGTAACATTCCATTTTACCACCATGGGGGTAATTGTCCCCAGATTGAGAACCACTGCCATAGTGGCTAAGAACTTAGGAGGACGTTTAAACGATGCACTGTCAACCGTTTTAATAGTAGTCAACACTATCAAATCGCACCCTCTTCATGTTCGTCTTTTCCAGCAGTTGTGTGAGGAGAACAGTGAATATTTCCAGGTTCTACTGTTGCAGCTGTCATTGCCGTTTTGTTGTACTCTGTGATACCATCATCACATTCTTACCTGTTTAGTACCCACTATCTCATCCATACTGGCTCCAGGAGACAGTTGGTCGTTGCTGGAGCGGAAGGGGTGCACGGTTCTCGTGGCCGTGCTATTCTCAAACAATGGTTCTATCCAGTTTGGAGCGGGTCACAGCCTAACCGCCTCCTTGTGTGCGCTTGATTCCTCAAATACAGCGTGCTTGTGTTTGCCTGTGAAGGAATGTGGACAGGTTCCGTTGATGAGACCTGGCTCCCATGTACATGCCTCCCGATCTTATTCCTTCGAGTATACGCTGGACACTGAGTGTGTGAATGGAGCTGCTCAAGCCACCCATGTTCCCTCTGTATACGCAAACGTCTTGTGGCCGCGGTGACAGGTTCATCCAGAACCGTATGTTGCCAACCATTTGGCCGAATGGCTTGTAGCTTTTTAAAATGGATCTGTAGCTCCCAAACAACTTCCTGACCAAGTGACGTATACCAAACCAAGAGCACCTGGTATGGTGACTCGTTCCGAACCTGAAGATCAAAAGGCGATCCTTTTCCCTTACGGCCTATACGTTGTTGGCCAAAATGCATGAATCCCAAGCTGTGTAATGGTGCTTTTATGGTGCTTCTTACCGGAATGTTACGGACAACCAACTGCAAAAAGCCGATCATCATAGCAAGACGAACTGAGATATTGGCTAAACGGTTCAAGTGCTGACGTTTTCTAATGCAAAGCCTTATTGTTAAAGCTGCTTTTTGGGTGAGAGCTGGCAAGTATTTTCCTCTTCGGACAAAGCTGTAGATTCGACTTCCCACCCTGGGACAAGTGCTACAATGACGAGGCACTCACCATAGATCGATAAAAGTTCTTTTCCACAATTCCAAATCTAGTTCGCCCAGCCATGCATTTAATTCGCAAAGTGTTCCTGGAATTTATGTGAGCGTGTTATCTACCCTGTACTGAAGCGCCTCAGATGATTTCAGAGTCTCCGGAGACCTATCGGGCGTCTTTCTGTCAAAATATGCGTTGGTGCAGTTCACGTTTGCTATTTGATTGCGTTATAGATTCCAGAGGGTGTCTTCTTCTTATGGGATTCCGTGATGTAGATACTGTGGTCTTGTGTACTATCCCTGTACTATCATGGACGAGTGCGTGATGACCAAAATTAGTTCACATGATGTGCGAACTAGTAATGCTATCACAGGTGGCCAAGACCGACGTCGTAAAGTGGTTTCCTTATGCTTTTCGACCTTATTTGCATTGTTACATTGAGCACGTGTGTGGATGAGGGTGTGTGCTTAGGCAAATAAATGAAAGGATGAATAAGTGAGGGGATGATTGAGTGAGTGAATGCCTGACTACATGTGTGAGTCAACAAGCGATTGGGTCAATAATACAGCTCGTAAGTAAGAACAGGTGAGTTAGAGGTTCGTGCTGCTTGATTGGTTGGTTGATTAACTTACTTATTAACCAGCTGAATGGGTGAATGGACGGACATGACTGATTCAGTGCATGGGAGTGAGTGAGTAGGCGAGTGAGTGTAGGGTTGGGTAGGCAATGGAGTGTGGGAAAAGGTTGACAGATTAATGAAGGAACTAGTCTGGCGGTTATAGGTGAGTGAACAAACACGTGGATTGCTGATTGACTGATAAAATGAGTGCGGTAGTGAGGGAAGGATTATGTGAAAAGTGAGAGATTGACAGACTGGGTGAAGCATAATCCAGAGAGAGGGGATAACTGAAAGAACGAATTGAAGAACGTGTGTGTGTGTGAAACAGTCGGCGAAGTAGGGAGTGCAATTAATTAGAGATTGAATACGTGAAAGCTGAGCAGAAAGTGAATGGCCATATAGATGATTTTGTATGTTAGTGAACGTGTGTAACCATGTGTGTGGAAGTCCGCGAGTGATAGAGGGAATGATGGATTGAGTCAATCGATGAGTCAGCGAGTTAATGAGTGAATGGGCATGCGGATAGGATACTGGGTTGGTGAGTGGGCGCTAAGTGGGCGAATTTTTACTGAACTGAACTATTGCTTAAGTTAGTGAAAACCAGTGAATGAGTTCGTTGCGTACTCAACCGGCCGCGGTTGCTTATATGGGTCCGTGCAACCAACTTTGCGCTATTCATCAGTACATGTACTCCAATTAGTGACGCGTGTTCTCGTCTACTAAAGCGGTACTGACTGATCACATCGCATATTTACATGCTGCAGATAGCGTGCGTACACTGCTTACGTATTCGTTCTGAAAATCTACTTCATGCCTTAATGGACGTCTCGTGCTCCACCGAGAATATGTATTCATTTAGTTATTGTTCCGTAGCTGTGCTCCTGCCTTCGCTTAGGTGTAACAGTGCTTTACTGTTCACCTAACTCATTAACCATCGTTGCAAAACTATTTCTGAAAAAGATATTTGTTGGTATAATAATCGGTACACCGACTTTTTCGACACAACAACTTTAATACTTCAGGCTGCCAAATCATTTATGTCGATATTTACTAAAGTCGAGAGTGCGTCACAATCAGTAGATAGTGGCAAGCACACACTGTACATTTTACTGCCTCGCATCATGTGCATAAAGTTATTTGATCCGGTACTACCGGAGGTTGATCCAGAAGAATGCTTTCACTGTTCTACCAACGGTTGCTTTCATGCAGCACGCTGAGTTGTCGTCTTTTGCTTCCGGTAATTAAGTCACAAACTAAAGGTGTTAGCACTGATGATGATGCATAGACAGATAACAAGCACTCCACGGTGACTTAGCAGAACGACGGGATAGATCCAATTGTTACGTACGGCCCTTAGCCGATAAACAGAACAGAAGGCGTACGCGTAGTATAGAACCGATTTACTGCAAGCATCCTGCGTTACAGTGGCCAGAAAAGCCGGCAAGGAAAACCAATGCAATAGAGAAAGTAAGGCAAGGTCATCCTCAACCAATCATATGAGGGTCTGTGTTTACGAATCGATACTCAAGTGCGTACGTGACAATGCAGCGCTGTGATTGCTCATCGTTCCCTTCCGGCAATTAGGTCACAAAGTAAAGGTGTTAGAACTGAGGCTAACGCATAGACCGATAACAATCACTACAGTGACTTAGCAGAAAGACGGGATAGATCCAATTGGCTGTTCAACAATCCATAACAGGATCCTGAAAAGCTCATTTGCAACAACGTGATCTGTTTAGCCACACACATATAGCGTTCGTACTTTAAGTAGCATACACATCATATGCCATCAGATAGACTGGATATAATAATAAGCTCAACTTTCGCCTTAATTTCGGCTGCATGAAAACGCAACTTAGCATCTTTTCAGTGGTATGAAGCCTCGTAATGCCCAGGACCTTTGTTTTGTTTGGGGTGAGATGTGTATTAGCCTGGAGCTAATAAAATATGCTTTGAGATACTTAAGTGACGAAATTTTGATCGGAATTGTACCTACCTGCTCTTAGTTCTAACCTCGCTTTCTATGTTCGTGAGCGGCACACGATTCCACGATGCAGGCCCTGGGCTGGGCCGCCACTGTCGATCGAATGGACAGGATGTTGAAGACTGGTGTTTCAGATAACCGGTTGTACTTGGTTTTGTGGACCCACGGTAGGCATTGCCATACGTATCTTCAAATTTGGTGGTCATGCGTTTTCCTTCCTTATCCTTGTTAGCGACCGCTGTAGTGACATCCTGATAACACTGAGAATTACAGATAGCAATAGGTTATTTTTAAGATTGCAAAACGTTGATTAGGGAAAAGTGTCTGTGTCTGGTTTGCTAGCATCCGTATGACACAAACAATCCCGTACTTACTTTCAGCTGTCTGTTGGTTACAGGTGTGGGACACAAATGACAGGCTAACAACATATAGGTGTCCAATCAACCGAATGTAGGTGGAACTCGGCCGTTTTTCCCTAATCACCAGGGTGCAACTGTCGATTCCTGTGGATTCTAACAGCTAAATTTTATTTCGTGAATCAGCGACTTAAGCCACTGAGTTCTGGATGACAGTTGAGGATCCCATAAGTAATTAATAGCCTCGAATTAACGCGGCACATCTTCCACAAAACTTACACGTCACTGCTGTGCAGAACTCATGAATTGCTACCAGAGGCACGGCTATTCTCACTGGACATTTACTCACCCTGTGGCATCATGGACGCCGTACAGTAAAATGTGCATAGTAATCCTTGAGTTACCTAAAATGATAACTGTTTTCAAGAAGAATGTGTTTCTCTCAGTTCCCTTAAAGAAAACATTCTCTAAGGTTTGCTGCACAGACTTTCCAATGCAGTATTTTAAAATTTCTCAAATACTTATTCCCTATGTTTTTGCGGAGACCCCTCCAATCATTACCCAAGTTCGGGAAAAAATCCCGGTTACATCCGAATTCACCATCAATTTACTTGCACACATGGTGAGGCAGGTCGTATTCACGACCACACATCTGTTGTAACGGATAGCGGGGTACTGTGCAACGTCATCGCAGCAGTGCATCGCCGAAAGATAATAAGCAAAGTGCAAAGGCTCCATAACAGTCACCGAGGGAACCCGGAGTAAGGAACAGTTCTGGAACGACAGGCCGCTCGACTAGTAATATTAATGGTGTATGGAGACAATTTGGTTGGGTCACATGATGTCCATCATCAAAATGGACTGGCCAACGGTACTTGTACCAACGATACGAAGCCTAAACTGAGTACGTCGTACGAAAACTAAACTAGAAACTACGAACAAATAAACCTGGACTTAACCCACGGTCTGGGCAGAAGAATAGAACGAATCATCCTGTAACCGTGGCTCTATAAGGCATATTAAATACAGTACATGTCTTACGTATAGGTTTTGCAATCGTAGTGCAATAGGGCAGAAATTGTACAGCGTGGGGCGGCTTGCGAGTATTTGGGTAGTGGCACGATAAAATAAGCGTAAGAGTGACCTTGAAACGTCAAGGATATGTCAGTGCTCGGGTGAAAGGAACAAGTATACGATATGGTAACCGATTGTAGGACTCAGTAAAGCAATGTGAAATGAGCAGAATAATTAGGGAGTAGAGATACCGTATCCTCATGTAAACAATCCAACTTGGGGATGCATCAAAGTTTCTTTTGGACTTTACAGTACTCATGCACTAGCCGGTTCAGAAACAATACTACGAGCGCCAGTGAGAGAAACCAATAGGCAACTCACACATTTGGATTTGACACCATCCGTTATTGATCTCATCATCGAGTTAACCCGGATTCTTATTTGGCCCCTGTTACCTGCGTCGATGATATTGATTCCTTTAGCTCACCTAGCATTGACAAATTAATAACTACGTCATGAGTTAAACGATGTGTCATGTGATTCACATGCATGCGTCTTGGACTATCCAAATTGTTTCTTACTGTTGTCCTTCCTAGCTACGGTCTGAAGGTGTGCATTACTTGAGTTCGTTACTACGTACTACTGGCGACGGATTTAAATGAACCCTATCATTAAACCACCTGCTAACTTTTGGTCTTCCGCTGAGGACAAACCGACCTTGTCAAACTGGATGAGGTGAAAGAACTCATTTAGTAACTACCTGGAACTACTGCCTGAATGAGAATTTTAAGATTTCATTTTTAGAGTCCCAAAAATACGACTAATCAGACAAGTGCTGGGAGATGAAAGCCAGCGACATTATGATGTACTACATGTAGAAAACGGTGACACTGTTACATCGGCCTTGGATAAATATACCACACTGTGGGGATTGAAACGGAATGATTTTACTGCGATTCTGCTTTTCAAAACTTGTACAGAAAAAGAACCAGAGAGTCGATGACTTCATTGCACACATCCACCATTTCCTTCCCGAGTGTAAGCACAATGAATTTCCATCTGATAAGTTTGAAGAACTGAAAATACAGTGCTTACTTGCGGAGATTCTGGATGTAAGTGAACGGAAAAATTGTTATCTTTTAACGAGTCAGGTACTACGTGGGAGACAGCTTGTCTAATCGTTCGCCAAAGGGAGAATATCTCGCACCAGCTACGTGAATTCATTGGCCATCCAGTCGTCGATGCTGTTCACGAAGTTGCTAAATCACAGCCTGCATGTGAACCTCGAAGACAGTTCGTGTGCTGCGGTATGCAACATGCTAGTGTCTCCGAGTGTTGCCAAAAAGAAAGCGTCTGCCGAAAATGTGGTAAATGAGGCCACGCAGTCCGCGTGTGCGGATCGGAAGCAGCCCCACTGACTAATCTCGCTCAACCGAAGCGTCATAATAGGCTGCCACTAGCGAAGATGAACGTCCTGGAAGACCAAGAAGACAACGATCTAAATTCCGTCTACTTGAACACTGTGTCACCTAACAAGTGCCCTCCATTTAATATTCGATTGATGATCGAGAATGAACCCATCAATTTGGAACTGGATACAGGGGCTGCAGTTACCATTATAAACAGTGATTCAATTAAGAGTCTGCCACCCTTACAACCTTGTGACTCCAAATCGAAAACATAAACTGGAGATCCGATTACGGTCTTGGGAAAGTGCGTGGATAAGCTCAGGCACGGCGAGCGAGAATTAATCCTACCTTTGATCCTGGTACCTGGGAAAAGATCAAATCTTTTAGGCACAAACGGGATGTTATTCTTCCCAGAAACGATGCAGATTAATGACGTCATGGTCGATGACAGCAGTCCAGAAGAACTGGTGAGCCAATTTCCCTGTTTATTCGAAAGTAAATTGGGGAAGCTAAAACATTTTAAAGCTTCCATCAATCTACGGGAGAACACCAATGCTAAGTTTTACAAAGTACGAACATTACCGTACCCTATGCGTCCCAAAGTTGAACTACAACGGCTACAATCCGAAGGCGTAATCATGCTCGTGCAATACTCGGATTGAAATACCCCAATTGTTCCTGTACTCAAACTCGACGGTACCGTTTACATCTAGAGATATTGTACGTTAACTGTCAGTCAAGCTTTCGAGGTGCAAGTATATCCTTTGCCATGTATCGAAGATTTGTACGCTACGTTTTCCGGTAACCAAAAGTTTTCTAAGCTTGATGTTAGTCACGCAAATTCTCTAGTGGAGCTTGATGAGGACTCACACGAATTAACCACCATAACCACCCAATTTGAACTATTTCAGTATACCCGTCACCCTTTCGGAAAATGCTCCGCCCCCAACAACTTCCAGCGGATTGTGGATGATATTGTGAAGCATATACCGTTTAATTGGGCTTATTTGGATGATATCCTGATTTCTGGTCGCGGTGATGCTGAACATTTAAAGGCACTTCGGAAGGTGTTGGAACGTTTGGAATCGGATGGATTAAAACTAAAGAAATTTAAATGTGAGTTTTTGTCTGAATCTGCTTGTTCTCTTGATAAGAGAGGCCTGCGTGTTTTGCAAGCTATAGTATTTCCAATTAAACAGGCACCACAGCCTAAGAATGGTGACGAACCATGTGTCAGTTGAATCACTGGCAACTTGGTTAGCTGGACTCCCAAATCCGGTTAACTATCTCTCCAATCGTAACTTCACTTCCGTTTCACCCGCTGGCACACCTATCATTCGTTTGTGAAAGCACTGACGCTTTGGTAGGTAAAGCACCCGGATCCTTTCTTTACATCTTCAACCCACCTTGCTTCCCAACACTTAGCTTCGGTTTTCACTTGACCATATCTTGCTGGTGAATCAACCGACACATTGTCAACATCGATATGTTTGCCACTCAGGACTACTGTAACCTCGTAAACATATCACTGGTGTTCTGTTGGACCAATTCCCTGCATAATCAAACTCCTAGCGCAGTTAGCCAAACTACTAAAGGTTCGGCATTCTTGTTCACAGCCCACAACCCACACATCTTAAGTAATCCGAAATCCGTATTGCGCCTCCTAATTGTAAACAACATCTGCAATACAATAATAAGGTAGTTGCTTAATTATTTCCCTTTTTCACTGTGCAGTAATGTGGACTTATTTTTCCCTGCTAGCCAGACCCATACTGCTGTTCCTTATGCTAACTCCAGAAATTTGGTTGCGAGACCACCCCACACTATATTATTCTCGATTCCACACATGTACATAATTCCCTAGGAAGTTTTCGGCCTCCATCGCACTAATACTTACTAATACTTGCTATTTCCCTTCTATTTACGTTGATCCGGACCACAACTCGTTTAACGGTACGATGAGATACTTGCTACCGAAGAAAGTTGGATCTGCATAAGAATAAATTACAACTTAAATCCAATCCCACTCAATACGAATCTCCTCGCATCCGATAAACAATTTCAGTTTCAGAGAAAACTTGTACATAATGATCGGTCCAGGGTCTCTGGAACGTGTCTCACCTTTCTGAGAAATACACCTATTATTATTATTATTATTATGATATCTTATTATCGTTACTAAAATAGCTTTAAGTTCAAGGGGTTTAACAGGTAATGTTGATAGACGGCCGTGGGTGCAATTTCACGCGAAAAAGCTGCCCTGGAACCAAGTTCTTGGTGAGAACCAATAATGCGCGTTATGTTTTGGCCCATTGTTTCCTAATGAATAACTAATGGATTCAGCGGCCATACACGGTAAATATACCCAATAAATTTTGGTAGATAATGAAGTGCAGTCGGAAAGCAACGTTCAAACAGACTGATAAATGCCACTTCTGTAGCAACGATATGAATCAACAACGAACGAGTGTTCTTCGTCCC